CCTCCAACCCTTCCCCCCCTATCCTTCCGATATAATATATAACCGGGAATCACTGTGTCCCACTGATTTTCCTCATCCCACCAAGTTTCAGAAATACCCACAATGTCTATTTTTCCCTCCGACACCAAGCACTCCAACTCCCCGATTTTACCTCGGACACTTCTAGCATTTGTATAGAAACAGCTGTAATTTCCCTTACAAGTTAAGCCTGCATCCTTCCTCTTGCTATCTCGAGTCGTTGTCCGGCAGTCCATGTCACCAGCCATGGCCTCTGTGGACAATTTCAATCCACCTCCCTGTAGAAAAGCAACCGGTACCCCCTCACCTCTCTCAGATGAGCCAACCCGAACCAGAGACTTTTCATCTCCTGTCGGCTTTCCCCCAAACTCTAATATTCTACGATTCTATGACTGGCCCGAGGTCACCCAGCCGGCTTCCATGGCAGAACGAGGATTCGAACCCGGGTCCTAGTCCGACATTTTAGCCATTAAATCGTACTGGCCCTCGAGTGCCTGTCCCGTACGCATCTCTGACACCAGGGGAGGTTGGAGGCTGTGACTTCTGGGACATCTGTTTTTTCCCCCCCCTTCTATCCGCAGGATTTCATCTTCTTCGAAAAGACCGGTGAAGTCGGGCAGCGGAGTTCCGTGGTCACAAGCTAGGAGGTGGCAGGATGCAGCTCTCTCCCCCTCTCCGACCCCGATGAGGCGCATTCCTGTTCTTAACAGAGGGGACTGTGTGAGCACGGTGGCGCCTATTCATGCGGGGGAGTGACAGGAGGCTGTCCTGGCCTCGTGTGTTTGTGCAGATAATTCTGTGTGTATGTGTGTGAGTGTCTGTGCGTGTGTCTCTCCCGCTGGGTCTTCTGTGGGTGGATTTGAAGGGGCACGACGCAGTGAGAGGCCTACTTGAACACCTGCCTGGTGGCCACTCAGTAGCTGCTCGGCTTGGGATCGTTGCCACGTTTGAGGAAGCAAGGGAGCAGGCAGGGAAAGGTTCTGGGGGTGGCGCCGCTCGGCCCGCTGCGGGGCTGGGCTTGGACCTTGAGCGGGATCAGCTCACAAGTCAGATACGCAGCCCAGATCTCGAAGTGCCCCATAAAGATTTCTTGGAATCCGATGGGGGGTAATGCCGAATGTGCCGGAGGGTGGCCGAACGACAAGCTGAAGGAGAGAGCATCCCGTTGACCTGTGGCCGGCTTCACCCAAGCAGGGCGCCCATTCTGCCGAGAGCAGAGGAGGCAGAACCGATTGCGCCGCTTGAGACTCCGGAGGCGGACCCCAGCTTTAAAAAGCCCGTTGCACGCTGAGCTCCACGCAAGAGGAAAGCTAGCCCCGGGGGGAAAGCGGTTCGGCTGCCACTCTGGGCTGGTTTTCTACTTGCGGGGAGCTTTTCCACCGGGGGTGCTCTCCCAGCCTGTGATCCCTTCTCCTGGAACATGCAGTCCGTGCGCCTCGCTCCACGTCTCTCCTCTTTGGTGCTTCGGGGCTTGCAGAAGCTTAGCGGGGTTATTGTGTGAGAGCTGGTGGAGCAACCGAGTGTGTGTGTGTGTATTTGTGTGTGTGGTGGCGCCCTCAGCACTTGGGGGGCTCATCTCGTCTTGGGGGTCTCGGAAAGGGCGGGGCCTTGTGGTTTCTCCTCCGTGCCGCCTTGCCTTAACCACTGAACCTGGGCACGGCTTCCTCTTCTGTATACTTGAGGGAGCTGGGGGGGGGGTTTCATGTCAGGTCTGGTGTGAGGCGGGGGACGTTCCGCAGCAGGGCGGGCTGCCCTCCCCCTCCCAGGCAACTAGAAGCTTGCATAATTATCACGTTCTGTATATTTTATATATTTAAGTCTTATGCCTGTTCTTGGCGGACGGAGCCAGGGCTGGGGAGAGGGGGGTCTTTTAGAGTCCCCCCAGCAGGGGCAGAGTTGGAATGTGTAACGGGAAGATTTTAGGACTCTCTGGACAGACGTCTGCCTCGGCTGGATGGAGACCCCCATGCCGACGAAGCGGCTCGTGGGTGCCAAAGCGTGGCCAGCTCCGAGGTGGAGGACAGTTGGCGTGGAAGGGGCTGATCCAGACTGCCGGAAGAGGAGCCACTTTGGTCAACCAGCGAAGGCCTCCCTGACCGGACAGTGCCGGTCATTTGGCCAGCCAGTGGCGAGGGGGGGGGTTGTGGGAGAAGAATATCCCTCTTTGGACAAAGGGATCTGTTCCTCTGAGGCATACCAAAGAATAAATGTAGCTAGAATTTGGTCCCTTGTCTCGGCACTCCCTTTTCTGATTCGTCATGGCCTGGCTCACCCTCCCGGTCCCTTCCTTGCAGGGGATTTCCCAGGACAGGGCCTCTCCCCGGCGGATACCCATTTCGGGATGGGCCCTGGTCAAGCGGAGCCTGAAGCAGCAGCTTCGTAGAGCAGGAAACCGAAACAGAAGACAAGGAATGGAAATGAGAACCGTGGGAGGGAGGGAGGGAGGTGCCTCTGTGTGCCACTGGTCGATCAGAGTGGGCCCTGCTGCTGAAGGGACTCCCCCTCTTTGGCTTGTGTATGGCTTTAAGAACCTCAGAAGGGCCCTGCGGGATCAGGCCAGGGAAGGCCCATCCAGTCCAGCCTCCCATCTCACACAGCAGCCAACCAGTTCCCCTGGAGGGCCAGCAACAGGGCAGAGAGGCCGAGGCCTTCTCCTGATAAGAACACCAGAGGTCTGAGGACCAGCGGGATGATCTCTGTCTCTGGCGGGGAGTAGCCGTAGTCGTCGCAGGGCAGGTCCCCCCTTCTTCTCCTGCTGTGCGAGAGCCCGTTCTGGCCGTAGGTTTTGGGGCACAAGATTTTGTACAGGCAGAAGAGCAAGAGAACCAGGAGGATCCCGGAGGCCAGGCCCAAAGCAGCTACCCTGGCAGGAAGGAAAGAGCAGCACCAGTCAGACGTGAGACGGTCTTCCTGACCCAGTCCCTCTGAGGCCACGGGGAGCTGTGCAGAACAACGGGTTTCATTGGCTTAGAAGATGCCCTCACTGCCCCTCCAGCGAACCTGCTCAGGGTGAATTCAGAACACCAGAAGGGCCCTCCTGGAGCAGACCAGGGAGGGTCCATCCAGTCCAGCCTCCCGTCTCACACAGGGGCCAGCAACAGGGCAGAGAGGCCGAGGCCTTCCCCCGAGAAGAACCTCAGAAGAGCCCTGCTGGGTCAGACCAGGGAGGGTCCATCTAGTCCAGCCTCCCGTCTCACACAGGGGCCAGCAACAGGGCAGAGAGGCCGAGGCCTTCCCCCGAGAAGAACCTCAGAAGAGCCCTGCTGGGTCAGACCAGGGAGGGTCCATCTAGTCCAGCCTCCCGTCTCACACAGGGGCCAGCAACAGGGCAGAGAGGCCGAGGCCTTCCCCTGAGAAGAACCTCAGAAGAGCCCTGCTGGGTCAGACCAGGGAGGGTCCATCTAGTCCAGCCTCACACAGGGGCCAGCCAGTTCCTCTGGAGGGCCAACAGCAGGGCAGAGAGGCCGAGGCCTTCCCCAGATGTTCCCTCCTGGCTGTGGGATTCAGAGGATTGGTGCCTCCGAATGTGGAGGTGTCCTTTGCTGTGCTGTGGCCGCACAGACTTGGATGTCAGCTGGGGATCTGGTGGGAGGCCTCAGCCGCTGTGCAACCACAATGAGGAGTTTCCCGATGTCACTGGTCCGTGTCCCTTCTCCCATGCAGAGCATTTCCACTAGGGCTGCCAAGTGGGGGTGGGTGGCAGGTAAACCCCCGCTTTGGAGGCCCGATTTCCGCCGCCGCCGAATCGGGCCCCAGGGGAACCCCGCCCCCCGAAGCACAGCGTGGCTACGTCACAGGAAGTGATGCAACCACGTAGATCACGTTGGGGGCGTGGCCCCAATCGTTGGGTAGGCAAAACTCCCAACATTGGGGCCACACCCCCAACATGCTCTACGTCGTGCGTCACTTCCTGTGACGTTCTGGCGGCACACGCGCGTGCATCCATCGGCAGCTCCCGGACCCTGGTGACGCTCCCCCGCCGGTGAGTCCGAGCGACTTGGCAACCCTAATTTCCACACCCAGCTGCTGAATATGTGTCCAGGCCCACAGATGCACAAGCCAGTGAGGCTTTTCTTTTCAAACAGATGACCACTCCTGCAGGCAACAGGTATTTACAGAAAGGCAGTGTATTTTGTTCGTTTACTTTGGATGTATTTACAGAAGTCCCCCCCCCCAACCACTAAGCATGCACATGGTGTTACTGTCGATGAGCCCCTGACTGCAGCTGCCCTTTGTGCTCGTTCTCGCCATGAGTGGGGAATTGGGGCTGGTTCCGTGCCAGGCAGGGCCTTCCTTGACCCGGCGGCATCTCCATCTGAAGGACCATGGCTTGGGATGGCGGGGCGTTCTCTCAGGGCAGCCCCACCCATCGTCAGAAGTGGTGCAGTCCAGACGGACGGAGGACAGTCATTGTGGGACTGAGCCAAAAATTCTCTGGGGGAAGGGGGGTCTCTTCACTGCAGGTGGCAGGTGACGAGTGTTTCCTCCTGGACTGGCGCCACCATGGGCGAGAGCCAGGGCAGGCCCTTGTGGCAGGCGGCACTTAGCCCCATCCCCTGGCACTGTGGACAGATGAAGTGGGAGTCCCTTCTCAGTGACAAAATCCCTTCCACCTGCCCCTGGGCATTACTGGCTTTCCAACCAGTCCAACACTCTGTCACTGTGGCCAAAAACACCAGGTGCCCTCAGGTGGTCCAGCAGTGGGGCCAGGACCCTAGGAGCCCTCCCACTGTTGGCTCCCCCCCAAGCACCAAGAATACAGAGCATCCTTTGCCCCAGACTGAGAGTTCCTATCTATACCTTGTGGCTCATAGCCTCTGATGGACCTCTGCTCCAGATGCTTATCCAGCTCCCTCTTGTAGCCATAGCCGTAGCCGCCACCTCCTGCGGCAGGGAATTCCATGTGTTAATCACTCTTTGGGTGAACAAGGGCTTCCTTTTATCCGTTCTAACCCGACTGCTCAGCATGTGCCCACTGAGTTCTTGTTTCATGGAGTGCCCACTGAGTTCTTGTATTGTCCACATCCCTTTTCGAAGAGAGGCACACTGGAAATCTGGGTGCATGCCGGAAATCTCAGACAGTACATGTGGTGCGGCGAGCCAAGGGAAGAGGCAGTGGAAGTGGAATCTGCGGACTCTGAGCAGCCCTCTGCTGGAGACAGGACTCAGAGACTGAGCTTTGGCCAAGAGCTCTCTTTATGGGCTGCAGCACTGGGGGGGAGGCAAGACTCCTTTTTTGGGGGCGAAGGGAGCCAGGACGCCTGGGGTCCCCCGCAGGAGAGGCAGTGTCTCTGGCCAGTGCCGGCGGCTGCTCGGAGGAAGGAGCGGAGGCAGGTTCTCCTTCAGGCCCGCAGTCCCCTGCTGAGGACGTAGCGGGAGGCCATGGCCAGGTTCCAGCGGTGCCGCTCCAGGATCCGCCGGCACTCCTCCCGGGAGAAGGCGCTGATGTGGAAGAGCTGGTCCACCTGGGCAGAGAGGGGGGAGGAGGAGGAGGGCGTTAGAGGGGTGGGAGGTGGGGAAGGAAGGCCAGTAACCATGGTGGAGTGTGTGGGGGGGGTATGTGCTGAGCCTCCCCTTCTGCTCACGCTCCTGCATAGAAAAGTTGACCACAAAAATTATTCCGTCACCCAGTGTTCCCTCTAAGCTGAGTTAGTGTGAGCTGGCTCGCAGTTTTTTAGCCTCCGGCTCACACATTTTTGTCTTAGCTCAGGAAGGA